ATTTCCTTTAAAAATTAAATTATTAAATGATAATTAATATTATAAAAAAGATCCTTAACTGTTTTGACATTGAAATATTTTCCCCTTGTGATGGAAAAACAGTCAATCATGAACGTCCATATCATAATCATACAGTTACAGGGATGACATCAGTGAGTGAGTGAGTGAGTGAGTGAGTGAGTGAGTGAGTGAGTGAGTGAGTGAGACACCAGAAATGGGCTTCACACATTGCACCCATGTGGGGAATCGAACCCATGTCTACGACGTGACAAGCAAACACTTTAACCACTAGGCCACCCCACCGTGACGGGATGACATCAAGTATTTGAGAAATGGATGACACTCCTTCAGTTCAATGCTTACAATATATTCAGCGAAATCGTGTGTGAAGTTATTGGCAATGAACCAACTCACCATTATTTACAAAAAACACCAGTATTTATGTCAAGTACTATCATTAATTGGCTACGGTTTAGGCATCTTCCTGTAGAGAGTATAGCAAAGTAAGTGTTTATTATTACTGGTCTTGTCACTCATTAATGTTTTGCTGTTTGTTTACATGCTAAAACATATTCCAATTTACCTGGCTTTTTCTGTCCATTTTTCTTTCCATGTTGACTGGAAACGTGATATGGATTGAGCCGAGCGAAACACTCTCTTATGACAGACTGACATGTTTGTGAAAACAGAAAAAGCAGGAACCATCACAAACTGTGCAATATTTGTTTCCATCATATCTTATTTCTTTACAGAAATCTTTTACAAGTCAATAAAGATGAAATTACCTCTGCAAAACCTGGTATCAAAGCTGAACATCAAAGAAATTTCAGGCAAACCAAGTTATTTCAATGTTTCACAGATAACCCTGACTGTTAAGAGAAAATACAAAATATAATGCAGCTTTATAATTGATTTCAAAGACATGTAGCATCAACAAAGAAAAGAGGGATTTATTTTTATTCTGTCAAACTGATATTTCTGTACCTTAAGAGCCACCATATGGAAATATCAAGGGTGGAAATAACCCATTGCCAGACATCCGAGTCCAGTGTTTTTTTCTGTCGGGCAAGCAAATTTGTATATCACACTGTACCAGTGTCACACCTCCAGTTGACTTTCCAACGTTAATTATGTTGTTTATTTAAAAAATCAACAAGAAAACGGACGGTATAGTAGAAAAATTATCAGGGCAAGTGATTTTACATGTGCCACTGTACTGGAGTACACTAGCAATTTTAAAGTTATTTCCACCCCTGAAATATGTCATGTATGTAAAGAATATAAGTGTGTGAGTTTAGTTTTGTGCCTTTTAAGCAATATTCCAGTAATATCATGGTGAGGACACCCGAAATTCGCTTCACATATTGTACCCATCTGAGGAATTGAACCGGAATAACTCCCAATCATATGCCACTTAAAGATAATTCATATTTTTTTGCCTCCATAAAAACATAATGTTCGGCTAAATCAAATCAAGTTTTTTTAAGTCACTTTGCTCATGGATGCCCTAGTAAAACAAGACAATACATTGGTCTGGCATCAATTGGCATATTAAAAACGACAGAAATAAACATTGGTGGCAAACATATGACCCACATTTCCTCTGAAAATGCGGTGAGCAAACGTCTCCAGGAATTGGTGGCGGACATTCAACCAAAATTGCTCTGAAAACATGACGAGCAAATGTGACCCTTCCAGTTCCAGGAATACTGTGCCAATCATTCCACTAGAACCAGTCGCTGGACGAATCTGTACCCACACAATGGCAGCTATTTGTGATGGTGGTGTAACGGCAATAGCTGAAGCTGACATACTGCACCAAATCGTGACGAATTGGTACGTTGTACTTACGACAGAAAATGTGAGGCTTATTTCTGTGTCTTTGTCAGTTGTCACACCTACATTGTCTCAGATGGGGTGAAAGTGGGTGTAACGTCACAGCAATGTTCATGCATGTGTGTGTGGAAGCTTGTACACGTCAGGACTAATGCTGGCCTGTTACTGCTTGCCCACATGGACCCCATTCTTCACTTAGATATGGATACCCAGCCGACCAGACTTGTCGTATGCCCTTCATGTCGAGTGCAAGTAAGGGCAACAAGTGGGTGGGTGGAGGAGTGAGTGATTGGGTGGGTGATTGGGTGGGTGGGTGAGTGAGTGAGTGAGGAGTGGGTGAGTGAGTGAGTGAGTGGGTGGGTGGGTGAGTGAGTGAGTGAGTGAGTGGGTGGGTGGGTGGGTGAGTGTCAGTGAGTGAGTGAGTGAGTGGGTGGGTGGGTGGGTGGTTGAGTGAGTGAGTGAGAGTTTAGTTATTGTCGCTTTTAGCAATATTCCAGCAATATCACGGTGGGGGACACCAGACTGGGCTTCATGCATTGTACCTATGTGGGGAATCGAACCTGGGCCTTCGGCATGACAAGCAAACACTTTAACCGCTAAGTTATTAATGGTTAAACAACAAGTACTTGGTTGTTATAACCACAAACACATAAGAGACAACTAGTTCTAGTTCATTACAACTATAGTTGGTTATACCCATTTCAACTACAGATATTTCAACAAGATTGCAGCAACAATGTGGAATGATCTGCCATCTACCCTGCGAGACTCATCATCGTATGACATTTTTAAGAAGGGTATAAAAAACCCTGTATAAGACACTCTGTAGCATTTGTGACTCTTTCTGTAAAGCGCCTTAGAGTGTTTTAGTTTCTGAAACGCAAAGGGTTCTTTACAAGTTTTGTATATCATTAATATAAAGCAAGTGGTTGGGGCAAAAATAGATAGTTTGTTATATCCCTCATTTTGTCATAAACGTGGTCATTCTAAACTTGAGTTAAAATGTACCACTGTTTAACATCTTCGACAATTTGTGACTGGGATCACCAGTCTGCTACCAAGACAAATGCTCTATCCACAAGATCACAGAAACCATCTGTATTGTATCATATAGAATTGTTTCCATCAGTTCGTCAGTTTGATTTGCAACAAGTCTTACATCTAGAGATAGTATGCCATACAGACCCTGAAACAAATATATCCAAGAAAGCCCATGCAAGTCTAGAATATGTGGCAAGTCTAGATCTGAAAATGAAGAAAGTCTCTGGGCTTTTCATTATATTTTATGATTATAATTTAGAAACTGTTTTTTCTGTAAGATATGTTGTTTCAGAGACAAGTTGTCTAATCTAGAGATGCAACAACAACATTGTACATGTGACTAAGTTGTAAGGAGATGGACGTTATCTCCCAGTTCAACAATGAACAAACACCGGGGCTGTCAAAACACTTCTTCCCCTGTAGTCAACACGTGCTGTGGTAGTTACTTGACTACCATATCCCGTTGTTATATTTTCCGCAAGTGCTGATATTTCTTTTTCCTCGCCACTAAGAGTCAGGCAACTAGCACTCAGAGCAAACATATACAGTGTGCTTCATACAAGGATAAATAATGTTTGTTTCTTGTTTACACAGCAGTATTCCAGTGGCCTATAAATAATCAAGCCTGGACCAGACAATCCAGTGATTGATATTATGATCAACCTTGGTTATGATCTATGCTAATGAGTCTGACCACGTTATCAGTACAGTGAGTGAGTGAGTGAGTGAGTGAGTGAGTGAGTGAGTGAGTGAGTGAGTGAGTGAGTGAGTGAGTGAGTGACTTGGGTTTAACGCCGCTTTTAGCAATATTCCAGCAATATCACGGCAGGGGACACCAGAAATGGACTTCACACATTGTACCCATGTGGGGATTCTAACCCGGGTCTTCGGCATGACGAGCCAACGCTTTAACCATTAGGCTACCCCATCGCCCCCCTTATCAGTACAGGTTATTTGGGACTTATTCTAAAGTTTCGTTGCTTCCTTGTTTGTTGTTTAACACTGCACTCAGCAATATGGTGGCAGTCTGTAAATAATCGGGTCTATACCCAGACAATCCAGTGATCAATATCATTAACAACAGGGATACGATGACATGCATCAACCAAGTCAGCAAACCTGACCACCCGATCCCCTTAATCACCTCCAACATATTCTAACAGAGAGAGTGAGTTTGGATTTATGTCGCTTTTAACAATATTCCAGCTACATCACGGCTGGGGACACCAGAAATGGGCTTCACACATTGTACCCATGTGGGGATTCGAACCCGGGTCTTCAGCGTGACGAGCGAACGCTTTAACCACTAAGCTACCCCACAGCCCTATTCTAACCTAGAATCTCCATGAGGCTGAAGGACATGTATATGCTCAATGTTCGCAAGTGGGAACAAGAATTACATCTCATTCCTTCCGTACAGCAGACAGAATGATTATTTGTATTGGCCCCGTATCAACATACACAATACATTCTTGCACTGTGACCAGTGTAGGCCATAATAATATTAGTGCTTCGACTTCTGTTAGCTTGTGTAGAATGAACAACAATAGTCTCAACACTAACCAGTATTGTGCAAGTCTCATTGGCAAATTGGTAGTTTCTACTGCGAAAGGTTGAAAAAAGAACCATGAAATCTTTTCTAAATTCCCCTTACATTCTTCCGAAGCTTGTCACAGTTCAGAAAATGAATGACAATGAGAAAAATATTGTCATCAACTGCATGCTGATGATTACAGACAGCACTGTAAACAAAATAAACCAAAGATTTTGTTTGTTAAACCAGCTAATCAAAAATAACTGCATTTCTTCTTTCATTACAGGTGAACAGAGAAAGGCAGAAATCAAATGAAAATTAATAAATGCTGTTTTCACTTTTCAGATCTAAAAAAGTTGCTTATAATGCGGACAAGGCTTGTCAGTTTTCCTGCATTAAGTCAATCAGTAGTGCTAACGGTGTGAAAAGGTTGTTCACAATATCAACCCCCTGTTTGTCTTGTCCAGACTCACTTATTTTCACGATAGAACTGGTATTCTGGTGACTGTGGCCTGAAATAACTTTCACATTCACATTCAACTGTATTAATGACAATCAATAATATTTTCAAAATGTTCATATTTTTCAGAGGTCACAGAAGCGAACATATGAAGTTTTCAGGCCTGGGCAAGTTTGGTCTTCTCAACGACCCTGTTAGAATGGTCAAGCAACGCCATCGCCACAGAAACCGCACTGCCCTCTCCGTGATCGCAGAACTAGGGTCGGAGAGCAACGCTCACGGCTTTGCAAAGATCGTAACGTCAGACGACACGAAGCGCAAGGTGATCTGGGCCCTGTTGGTGATCATGGGCTTCACAGCGGCAACACTCCAGCTGTCTCTGCTCGTCAGGAAGTACCTACAGTTCCAGGTGGTCGAGCTCTCCGAGATCAAGGAGAGCATGCCCGTAGAGTTCCCGTCCATATCTGTATGTAACATCGAACCGATATCATGGCGCAAGATGCGTATTCTGTTTTCTTCAAACAGCACAGAACTCATTTCTTGGATTAATTTTGTAAGCAGTGAAAAGTTACGTTTTGATGATCAGCATGCAGCTCACTTAACGTCTATCCGGGCCTTTTATGAGAATCTGGGTGAGGAAGCTAAGTTCATGAGCCATGACATAAATGATTTCCTCATCAACTGCAAATTCAGTGATGAAGTTTGTTCTGTGCACAATTTTACAACTTTTTTTGACGGAAATTATTACAGTTGTTTTACCTTCAATGGGGGAGATGTAGCTGAGAAGCTTCTGATGCATGCAACTGGACCACAAAAGGGCCTGTCCTTGATTATCTCTCTTGACAATGATGATCCTCCACTGGGATCGTATGGATTGTACGACATGAATTCGAACATCCTCCACAGTGCTGGAGTGAGAGTGGTGGTACATGCACCAAACACGATGCCAAGTCCAGTGAATCACGGCTTTGATGTTCCTCCTGGGTATTCCTCCTCCATCGGGTTGAAAGCTGTGCTGCATACGCGGCTGTCCGAGCCCTATGGAAACTGCACGAATGAAGATTTGTTGGGAACGCAGGTGTATCGGAACACCTTCTTCTCGTGTCTGCAGCTTTGTCAACAGCGACTTATCATGAGTCAGTGTGGCTGCATGTCGTCTGACCTCCCCGAAACCGAAGCTGAAAACGTTACCTTCTGCGGTGTGATAGACAATTGGAAGGATCTCATGCACAAGGCCATGAATTCGAACGAAACAAGGCATGTAGACCTCCCTAAGCTCAAGTGTGAGCAACAATTGATTCAAAAGATGTCCCATGACAGATCGTATGAAAAATCGTGTAAATGTTTTCAGCCTTGTCATGAGACAACGTTTCAAAAATCTGTGTCGCTTTCGTACTGGCCGTTGGAGTTTTACCAGCTGAATGCCTTGCAGTTGCTTTATGGTGACAAAATAAACCAAAACTTTATGCATGAGGCATATACATATCTCTCCAATCTGGCTAACCTTACCAAGCTGAAGAGTGATAGAAACGATACCCGAACTGAGAACATTATCAAACAAAGTTATTCGTTATCAGAGAAAGAGAAAACGGAACGAGCATCGAATTTGATTCGGCAGAATTTACTGCGACTGAACATTTACCTGGAGGATTTAAGTGTGGTTGAGTTCGCCAGCTGCCAGCGTATGGCCTGGCCGATCTGTTTGCCGATATTGGCGGCACTCTGGGACTGTGGATGGGGATTTCAGTACTGACTATCATGGAACTCATGGAGCTAATTGCCAGATTAATTTTGCTGCTTTTTAATTCCGAGAAGAAGATGCCGGAACATGATCCAGTTTCCAATGGGATGCTGGACCACGACCACGATTATGATTACGACAGACGCAACGAGTCTCCTGTTTGACCGAGTTAGGATCCCATGATGGATGACTTTACTAAATGCTCAGGGCAAAAGACAAGGCAATTCTTCCAAAGGATTTGAAAATTCTGAAAGTGGATGTCGTCGAAGGAAAACTGAGTTGTACCAGGGTCCGTCTTAAGGATTATGGCCATATTGGACAAATCAAGAAATGTCAAGATCAGTTGTCTCGAACAGCCTCTCTGTTAAATTCTGGAATGCAATATGTGCATTTGGATGATTTTCACAAATTCCCATCTTCTACAAAGACAGGAATCAATGGGAGAGTTTAACTGGATCTTGGTGTAAAGCATAATAAGACTGATTAGACGTCCTGTGACGAACCGACAACAGGAGTGTGTTACGTAACCTGTGATTGGATTAACACTAGCAAGTGTGTGTATCTTGTTAACGATTCATAGACGGAGTGTTCAGAATATTGGTGTGAATGTGGAACACTTCATGCCAATTATATTACCGGCAGTGTATGTGAGGATTATTTCCTGCCAAGAATGGGTTTGTGGGACAAAGCCCCATGCTTGGAACTGTGCTATATTTGTACATATAAACAAAGGTGTTTCTCCATAGCAACATGTGATGTCAGTGGTTACGTTGGAGGAGAGATCTATATATATATTTTGTCAACTATATTATCATTTATTATGACGTCTCCTCTACAAATGTTATCATTTAACTAAACGAGATAAACAAATATATATTACCCTCTCCAACAGTGAAGTATATTATCACCTAACTAGAACAGGTAAACACAACACATATTCACCAACAGTGAAGCATGTCATCACTTAACTAGAACAGGTAAATACAACACATATTCACCAACAGTGAAGCATGTCATCACTTAACTAGAACAGGTAAACACAACACATATTCACCAACAGTGAAGCATGTCATCACTTAACTAGAACAGGTAAACACAACACATATTCACCAACAGTGAAGCATGTCATCACCTAACTAGAACAGGTAAATACAACACATATTCACCAACAGTAGAACTAGAACAGGTAAATACAACACATATTCACCAACAGTGAAGCATGTCATCACTTAACTAGAACAGGTAAACACAACACATATTCACCAACAGTGAAGCATGTCATCACCTAACTAGAACAGGTAAATACAACACATATTCACCAACAGTGAAGCATGTCATCACTTAACTAGAACAGGTAAATACAACACATATTCACCAACAGTGAAGCATGTCATCACCTAACTAGAACAGGTAAATACAACACATATTCACCAACAGTGAAGCATGTCATCACCTAACTAGAACAGGTAAATACAACACATATTCACCAACAGTGAAGCATGTCACCAGTGTACATGTAAGGGTCAAAATGCCACAAGACAACACCTTAGAGGCCAAAAACTTCCCACTTTCATTTCAGAAGGCACCATGGTCAAAGTCGTTTCAGATTAAAAACAGAAAAAAGTGCAGATGTATCAAAGTTAATTCCAATCCAACAAGGTACAGAAAGATAACAGGAATGTTTTGATTAACAAACTCATTTCACACAATTTCCGCATGTTTCAGCATACTGTAACAAAGATTCTTGTCATCCACGGAGACAGAATCTTGTTTACCAGTCCTACACGTTGGTCACAAATGCATAACCTTGCAATAAATTTCTTTCTTATCTGAAGGTCTGTATATTAGCTGGCTTAACTCCATCTGTAAGGTATTGGAAGTTGCTATTGGCCAGTCTGATATACAGCGGCCCCTGAAAGGCCCAAGAATGCATGTCATATTTCTTATACTGCCCAAATCTCAGGCTGGTGCCCTTTTACAAACTGGACTATATCACACCGACAGCCCAACAATATATCTTGTATCAGCCAATCATGAAAACAGTATATCTTTCATCAGCATATTAAGAAAACAACTCTGAAATTCTTCAGTGCCATATTTTCCTGAGTATAGTGTGAGCTTAATGTGCTGCTTGTGCTGGTAAAACAGATGTTTCAAGTATTATGTGCAGTAGAAAATTACAACTTATCTCCTTAGATAATTCAATTGAATGAACAACTGAAAACAAACATGAACAACAAAATTGGGAAATTTGAGAAAAAATGTCATGAGACATGATGATTTAGTATTTGAATTGTAATACCTGTTCTGCTTGGCATTATTTTACATCAAGAGATTATAGGTATTTTATATTAGGAGTTTATGGGTAAGAAAAGCAAGATATATGGATGTCAACTTCTTTATTGTGAATAACACGACATTTCGGAGCATATGCTTGCTACTTCATCAGGGGAATGGTAGGAGTATAGGGGGATATATATATATACATTAGGCACTACAAAGTAATCATGATGAAGGAGCAACATATGCTCCGAAATGTCGTGTTATTCACAATAAAGAAGTTGACATCCATATATCTTGCTTTTCTTATGCATTCCACGTCTAAATGCCCTTCAAAGATCAGGAGTGGAGACCAGACCAAATTTATTTCTTGTTTTACGGATTCGCCGGTCGTATTTTTTTCAAGAATACGAACAAAATATAAAAAATATGTGTCCCTGCTCAAAAAATTAAATCCTAATATTTTTATTCACAATGGCCAAAAATGTAAACTTACAAGAACTTTTTTAGATTGTTTTTCGCCCCATATATACTTCATAAATTGCCAAAAGTAAAATACTTTAAGTATTTAAAAGGAATATTACTTTAACTGGTGAATTAAAAAAAATAAAAAAATCCCATCCTCCCTTTAGGTTTTCTGAGGACAAATATCCGTTAAACAAGAAATAAAATTGTTCTGGCCTTATGGGTGTTTTATATCAAGAGATTATGGGTGTTTTATATTAAGAGATTAAACTGCTGGATGTATTTTCCCATGAACTAAGCTAGATATAAAAATCAGCAGTACACATATTTTCTTCTAAAATACCGGTGATTTTTTTATACAATTGGAAGAAATCATATCTGAAAATATTAGTTAACCTGGAATAGAACGTTCTTACTTTAGATGGAACTTTTAGTATATGTATTCAAATCAACAACCAAACATGTAGTGCTTTAGTTCAGCTGACTGCTACTGCCTGACATGTGGAACAGTCTGACAAGTCACCTTTGATGCTAATACTATTCTTGTCATTTTGATTACAAAAACGTTCAGCTGATACAATTGTGTAATTCAGTAAGGACTTGTCAACATGGTATTGGCAGTGTGAAGTTTTCATGATATTGTTGTTGCATCTGGAAAAACATTGAAAATAATCACATTATTTAATAAGTGCACCCCACTCTACACAGCTGTGTCTTGTGGGAAAATGTAGCAATTGTACTCGGGGAGAGTATGGCACTCGAAAACGCATTCATACTCCACAGGTAAAGAAACTATTTGAGACTCATTGGCTCCTATTAAGGAATCTAAGTCAATCTAAGTTGTTGTAGGAATACAGTACATGCATGTCATACATTCAATACTACCACTAATAATACAAGGAGAAATCACATAGATATGTAGATGTTTGTCTTATGTAGATGTTGATCAGTTTGATTCCAAAGGGGCCTGAGATCTCCTAAATGACACATATTTGTGAATATCCTTTCAAAACAACATGTTTTGCAACAACAAGGAGTGCCTAACCTTTAATTAGGATAAATTCTATATATTTTATTTTCAAATGTTAACCAGCCAGATTATACTTAGGTCAGACTTTTTTTTAAACAAAATTGCCAATGTTCTAAAAGAGAAGAAAAGTGAAATAATACTCTCAAAAGCACCAAACAAACATTCATCTTGTCCTGTTTACTCTTCGATTACACCATGCCATTTATATAGAAAGTGGTCAAATGTAACACATGTTATATTTTGAATCCCGGATAGGACTCAACCCAACAAAAGTACTAGAATCTGTACTTTACAGAAAAAGTGTAATCCCAAATACAACATGTTACTGTTTCCTCTTGTTCTTATTTAACATGAAACAAGCAGGATTTTGTCACAAATAAACATGGAAGCGGTGGCTGTGTGGTCCTGTGCACAGAGCTCAGGTCATGAATCAGTTGAAGTTGAGCAACGTTGAGCTCGGACAGTCCTTGGATTGGTGACCGTGTTTAACAGCTTGACTCCTGAGAGTTTCTATGACTTCAGTCCTGCCCCACAGTAAAAGCACATGTGACACATGTTGTCTCACCTTAGGCAAGTGAGTTTGTTTAATATTGCCTCTGTTCACCCAGCAGGAAATGGGTACCCGGTAAGATGAAGTCATGTGACTATAACCTTCTAGCGCCTAACAGGCAGCTCGGGTTATCCGGGGTAATAATAATCAGATTCTTATTGAGCGCCGCGAGCAATCACTTGGTGTTTGGAGACTGTGCACTATAGAAGATGACTTATTATTATTAAGAACCAAGAAACCAACATAATATTCCCAGTGTCCTCTACAATAATTGTTGGTGCCTGACAAACTACTAAAAAAAGATTAAAAGAACTCCTGATTCCTTCATATTACCATTGTTATTCTGTCCTGAAAGAATTAGGTGTTATTAAACCTCTTTGTGTAACATACATGTAATACGGCTGAAAACTATGTTATAACATGTTAGATCTAGCCATAGCTTCTAACACCCAATGTTGGTAGTGATGCAAGAGCTAGGGCTAGAAGTGTGTATATCTTCCATGTACATGTATTATAAATGAATTTATGCAAAGGTGTGAGTAGAAGGCAGAAAGAATGTTACTGTTATAGACATCATCGTCCAGTTTGTGTTTAGTTTCCATGTTACTGTGAGGATCAGCGTTATTGTTCCATGTTTGGGCGGAAACATATTTTTTAGTTTTTCTCTCTATTCTGGAAGACACAACTTTGTAATTCATCGACCATTAGTTAAAGGTGTACATTGTGGTTCATCTATCCAAGCAGTCCCTTTGCAGATGCGGAACCGGACAATCCTGAAGACACAACTTTTAGAATTTTTTCTTGATTTATTTAAAATAAAAATACGTATTATATGCCGCTCACTATATATCAGGATTATCATGCTGGGATGGAAATTAGCACGTTAGCCCAGATCAGAGTTGTTAATGTTAAAGGGAGTAGGGCTAGTGAATTTCAGGAGGTATTGCAATACGTTACCATTATTCAGGTTCCAGATGACCTTGCTTAGTTTCCATCCCCGAGCATGAATCTGCTTCAGCCTCAAGGGTGGTTGACTAAAACTAGCACCTTAGTAGATGACTCACACTTTAAACTTATACTACTCAAAATAAGTTAAGGATCAGCGGATGTCATTTTCCTATAGTTAATGTCATGACTATAGCAATATGAAAGAATTGGGTGATACTTCGCCTTATTTTAGTGGTGTATTGATCTTGTTTTGACAATTTTAAGGTCAGACCAATTTATTTGATAGCTTTAAAGAATTCTGTGTTCAAAAAGCCAAGAGGCACTAGGACAAATTGATCAGTTTGTCTGGCAGACAATATCAAATGACGTTGGCAAAACATGCCTACCATCAGTTTGATACAGCATTTTCCAAAATCATAAAAACAAGTTGGTCTGGTCTTTTAAAGAATCAAAACCACCCTCTCTCAGTAGAATGACTTGATTAAAATAACTTGTTTCATTTTCTAGAACTTCGCTATCTCAACAGGGCCTCCAAGACATGTGGTTTCCGTCATCACATAGTGTATACACGTCCTCTACCAGAATGCATGTCTTATTGGAATAA